CCTACTATTATTATTTTTGTTAATCCTCACTCAAGGATATTTTTTCATTGATTTTTATATAGAGTGGAAAGGAGAGAGCGGGAGAGAGAGAGAGAAACACCGAAGTGAGAGACACATGGATGGGTTCCCTCCCGCACGACCCTGACTGGGGCCAGGAGGCAAACCTGCAACCCAGGTACATGGCCTTGACTGGGAATCGAACCAGAGACCTGTCAGTCCACGGGCCAAGCTCTAACTGCTGAGCCAAACTGGCCAGGGCTGGAATACCATATTATTATTATTAATTATTTTTAAATATATTTTTATTAATTGTTTTTTGTTTGTTTGTTTGTTTGTTTTAGAAAGAGAGAGGAAGGGAGAGGGGAAGAGAGATAGAAACATTGGTGAGAGAACATCAAATCGGCTGCCTCCTACATGCAGGGGATCAAGTCCACAACCCTGGCAAGTGCCTTCACCTGGAATTGAACCAGTGACTTCTTGGTGCATGGGATGATGTTCAATCCACTGAGCCACACCGGCCAGGCTGCCATATTATTTTTATGTGATTGTAATCAACAATGCTTTTGTAGACCGGTTTTGGCAGCAGTCTTTATATATTAACTCACAATTCATCCTTTAGGTCATGAATACTCTTAGCAAATGAAATTTTAAAATGTGTTTCATTCATACCTTATTTTGGTAGCTAATATTCAAGAGAGTCTTTTGAGTTGGTTCAAGGAGAATACTGTGATATTACTCTTTCTTGAGCTTCATCTAGTCAGTGGTGGAGTATATTAAATACTCTTAATATTTTACTTAGACACAGAGCTGGGGTCTTGTCTATAAGATAAGAAAACAGTTAATACATTCTCTTAACTAGTGTCCTAATTATGCTCTTTTCATCTGCTATTGACTGTTTGTTTTGTGTTTTTCATTTCATTTAAAATTTTAATCTTCATTAGAATTGTTAGATCTGACTTTAGAACACAGTGTTCTTTTTCTTTAGTTTGCTTTTGTATATTGACTTTGATAGAGATATAAAGATTTGCCCAATGTAACAAATGAGCTTCCTTCCCAATAGAGCTACTGTTTTATTTTGATACTTTTTGTTATTATGACATCTTATTTACCTAAGCTCCTGGTTGATCTCTCTTGAAATTCATAGTTTTGGTGTTTTTTTTCCTTTTTCTTTTTTGTAAGTTGACTGGAAATTCTGTAGTATTGCTTTCATAAATAGTTTCACAGATATTTCTTGCTTCCTCCATTTATTTAGACATTTGTTTTTACTAAGAGATGAACTGGTTTTTTTAAAAAATATGTTTTTATTGATTTTTTTAGGGAGAGAGAGAGAAACATTGATGTGAGAAACACTGATCAGCTGCAGATGGGCTGTTTTTCTGTGTTTTATTTTTAGGTTTTGATTTTAAGAATTAAAAAAAATCAATTTGATTTTAAAATATACATATTTGTATAATAAAATTAAGTTCCCAAGCATATACACCAAGTTTTAAAGTCTTTGGGACCATAATTTCAGATTGTGGTAAAAAATAACTGTCTCATTATAATTGTATCTTCAAAATTAAGAAAACTATATTTAGTCCTTGTTGGTTGGAGCGTCATCCCATATACCAAAAAGTTTCGGGTTAAATTCCCGGTCAGGGTACATACCTAGATTTTGGGTTTGATCCCCTGTCGAGGCACATACGGGAGGCAACTAATCAATGTTTCTCTCTCTCTCTCTCTCTCTTCCTTCCTCTCTCTCTAAAAATCAGTGAAAACATATCCATGGGTGAGGATTAAAAATAAATACATAAATAAAAGAAAATTTATTTTTAAAAATATACTTAACTATATATAGCTGTTATATGTGTGTGCTATCTTTTATGTGTTTATCTCATTTCATTGGATTTTCAGTTTTTTGCCTACTAATACATTTTTTGTGATAAAATAGGTTTGATGTGATAAAATTCTTCTCTGAAATAATTTTTCAGAGAAGAGTAATTTTTATTTTCTCAATTGTTTTCTTCTGCCTTTTCCCTTCATAATTTTTAAAATAAAAATTGAAGAAGTTATTGACAAATACAGTGGTGGAGCTCTGCAGTTTTTTGTTTTTTTATCTTCATCTGAGGACATTTTCCCATTTTTGTTCAGATAGAGTGGGAGGGAGAGAGAGGAAAAGAGAGAGAGAGAGGTGGGGGAGAGACATCGACGTCAAAGGGACACATCAAGTGATTGCCTCCTGCACTACCCCAACTGCGGCAGGGGACGAATCACAACCAAGGCACGTGCCCCTGACTGAATCAAACCCGCGACTCATTGGTCCATGGGCCAACACTCTAATCACTGAGCCAAACCGGCCAGGGCTGGGCTCTGCAGTTTTTATTTTGGGTAAATGTAAAATAGGGAACTTTTCCAACAAGATAATCTGTATACTAGCTTTATTTATATCTCCTTTAAGAACTAGTAGCTCAGATTTTGATATATATCATGTGTTTATTTATTTTAAAAATATTATTATTATTATTTTTTAATCCTCACCCGAGGACATTTTTGCATTTTTTGTTCAGATAGAGCGGGAGGGAGAGAGAGGTAGAGAGAGAGAGAGAAACATCGATGTGAAGGGACACATCGAGTGGCTGCCACCCGCACGACCAACCAGGGCCGGGGACAAACTGCATCCGAGGTACGTGTCCTTAGCGGGAACCAAACCCGCGTCTCTTTGTACCGCAGGCCGACGCTCCAACCGCTGAGCCAAACCGGCCAGGGCTAAAAAATATTTTTTATTGATATTAGAGAGAGGGGGAAAGAGAGATAGAAACATCGATAAGAGAGAACATAAATTGACTGCCTCCTGCATGCCTCTCACTGGGGATCAGGTCCATACCTGGGCATGTGTCCTGACCAGGAATTTAACTGGCGACCTCTTAGTGCATGGGTTGATGCTCAACCACTGAGCTACACCAGCTGAGCTCGTGTGTTCATTTTTTTATTTAACTTTTTATTATAGAAAATTTTTAAGGGTACACAAATCAGAATGCTCTTCACATTGCATCTGATTGCTATGTCTATTAAGTGTCTTTTATTTTACATTAGTTCCCACACTTTTCTTTAAACTCCATGCTGTGTATTTATTGAAGAAACCTGGGTTATTCTACATTTGACTGGCTGCATACTTAAAATGTCATTTCACATGTTTGTCCAATGGCTTGATTAAATCTGGTTCTGATTTTTCTTGTTACAGCACATTAAGATGCATATGTCTCTTTGCTTACTTTTAGATAGGTAGATTAGTGTGGGTATACAAAGCTAATACAAATGAATGTTTATACATATTCACCAAAATACTTGAGCAGAAATACTCAGAACAGTGCAAATGCCCATTAGCTGTAGAGTGGGTAAAAAAAAAAAAGTGTTTGTATATGATGGAACGAATACCACAGCAATAAAAAGCAACAAATTAACTGATAGATGCAACAGCACATGTTTCTCACAGAAATAATGTTGCGTGAAAATAGATACTATATAGTATCAGATATAAGAAGTTTAAAAAAGGGCAAAATTAATGTCTCATCTAAACATTGTAATACAGACCAATGAAATAGTACTATCTATTGAAAAGTCCTTTCTCCCACTAATTGAGATAGTTCCTTAATCATATACTCCATTTCCATAGGCATTAGGGTATATTTCTATATCTTGTTCTATTGGTCTGTTTATTCATATGCCTGTATCACATTGTTTTAATTATAGAAGTTTAGTAACATGTTTTAATATCTGACAGGGCTTGTATCTTGTTCCACTCATTGCTCTGCCTTTTCAGAATTTTTCTTGCTAGTTTCTTGCTAGTTTTTCTTGCTTATTCTTTCAAATTAATTTTATAATCAACTTGTTTTTATTTGGGGAAAAAAATAAAACCCTAAAGGTATTTTCATTAGGACTGCATTAAATTAATAGATTATTTTAGGGAGTACCTTCATGATATTGAATCTTCTTTTCCAAGAACATGGTTTGTCTTTCTTGTTCTCTTTGCTTCTTTCAGGAATGTTGTTTTCCTTATATAGGGTTTGTATTGTTTGTTGTTGTTAAATTTAAGCCCACTTTTTATTTTTGCTGTTGTAAATGGGATCTTCTTTTCTATTTTTACTTCATTTTTTTCCATTCATGATTTCTTTTTACTGGTTATTATTATATATATGAAGAATTGATTTCTGTGTGTAACTATATCCTGCTGCTTTACATATTCTCTTACTGTTTGGAATAGTTTTGCCATTGATTCTTTTGGGTTTTTCAATTGAATATATTATTTGCAAATTGAGGTAGGGGTAGTTTCTTCCACATACATCCATACCCAATTGTTATGCCTCTGGGCTAATTGTATTGGCAAGTACCTATATAATGTGCAGTAGTGGAGTCATTTTTCCTGACTTTAGTGAGAAAGCGTTAGTTTCCCTTTTAAGGTGTGGCTTTTTTTTTTTTTTTTAAACAGCTCTACGTATGAGAGGTATAATTTCCATACTAAAACATTTACTCATTGCAACTGTACAATTCAATTTATTATTATTATTATTAGTAGTAGTAGTAGTAGTAATAGTAGTAAATTTATATGGTGGAGCAACCATCACTATCATGCAGTTATAGAATATTTCTATTCCAAAAAGTACCCTTCTGTCCTTATGTAGTGACTTACAATGTTGACAAGTATATAAGGTTATATTTATGTGTGTGTCTATATGAAAAACATGTATATCCTGTACTTGTATAAATACATTTATATCATTTAAAGAATTACCACTAATTTCTATTTTAATTTTTAATTCAAATGAATAATGTTGAAAGGTTTTGTTTTGTTTTTTTGACATACATTGTTAAGTCAGCAGGCCAAGTTGTAGTTTGAGGCGGTATAGTGAAAAAGAATTCCCTTTACAGTAAAAGGTTGAAATATTGCAATGAAAGGTTTTTCTATGAGAAAAGGAAGCCAGCATTTTACCTTCTGAAACATTTTGTGCCGTGTTGTTTGTTAGAGGATGGCGTTCCCTGTGGATGTGCTGGATAACTGCAGTCACGAGGAACTGGAGAACTCTGCTGAAGACTACATGTCAGACCTACGGTGTGGGGACCCTGAAAATCCTGAGTGTTTTTCTCTTCTCAACATTACGGTAAGGTATTCTGCAGTGACTTTTATTCTATAGTGACTTTTATTAGTCTTTTCAGTTGAGTTTATACACAAAATCAATGTACCTTTTTTTAATCACTTTAAAATATTAACTAATCACTTGAAATTTGTATGAGAAGACATCAGTAAAATGGATAAATATTGATTGGTTTAGTTACAGTAGCATGATCAAGTTTTAGAAAGAAACTCGAAAGGTTATTGCTTAATATTTGGGTTGTGCCCTTAAAATTAAGTAGTTTACTAGTTTTGCTAAGACTGGTGGTATATTTGAGCTAACTCAATTAAATTTTCTTTAGATTTGGAATTTGTGATATTAGAATTTTTTTAAATAAAAATATCAGCAAACCATTAAACTACATATTTTTGTGTCACAAACCTTCCCTTTTCTAAAATATTAAAATAAAACTCAAATTAGTAAGCTGTGAATAGTAGATACTTAGTCTTGGAATCGTTAGAATCCCCCTGTGAACTTGATGGTAGGCAAATTCTCTAACCCCTAGGCCTCAGATTTTTCTTCTGGAAAATTATGATTTAAAGGATTCTTCAAGTCTCCTCTAGTACCAGTATTTTATAATTCTCTGAATTGAATTATTGTCTGTAAATGAGAAGTTAGTGTTGGATTAATGAAGGCAGAGAAATTGTATTGTGTGTATCTCAAAAAAAAAAAAAAAAAAAAAAAGGAAAAAAAATTACCTATGTGGTGTCTTTTATTAGAAAATGGAATCCCTTCACTTCCAACAGTCTGAATAACAGATAATAAATTGTTATTAATGACTTTATGGACCATATAGTTTTTTGTTTTTATTTAGACTTGTGATAGAGCACAGTAATATGTATTGAAATAAACTTTCATTTTTACCCCAAGATAATAAACTTCCCACAAAAGGGAATTCTGATTTACTTCTTTTTTTTTTTTTTTTTGAGACTAGAAATATCTTCTATGAAATTCAGTTATATAATTAGCATTAATGTAGGAAAAGTTAATATTTTGGTAGAATCATTATGCTTTTGTCCTACATTTTCTTAACGGAATCTTCACTAATCTTTAATCAATTGTCATTTCAGATTCCTATTAGCCTGTCAAATGTAGGCTTTGTACCTCTTTATGGTGGCGATCAGACCCAGAAAATCCTTGCTCTTTTTTCACCTGAGGACTCACTCACAGGTCTCTTTTTTATTTAATTTTTAAAATTGAGGAGTTTTTCTCCAAATAATTAGAAATGTATTAAAAGGTAGCTACATGAAGGCATTTTAAAAAAGAAAACTTATTTCAAACTGTAAATTTAAGAAAATATAATTCTTAATTGCTTATAATTAAATGTTTAATGAATAAAATAAAAATGGTATAAAAAAATGAGACCATATTGTATGATAAAGTATGGGTATACTTAAGGGTATCTATGTAAACCTTACCAAATAGTGATATTATATACTTCAAAGACTTAAGACTTAAATGTTAATAATCATTTATTCTATTTTAGCTGTGGCACTTTACCTTGCTGATCAGTGGTGGGCTATTGATGATATTGTGAAAACATCTGTCCCTTCTAGAGAGGGGCTTAAGCAGGTAATAAGATCCTGTAATTTTAAAAGTCTTTCTTAGGCCATTTCACAAGTATGTTTCCCATAAACAGTGAGTTTTGTTTTTTTATAACAGTGATAGTTTTTGAAGTTATTGAACTCTTCTCCATTTATTATAACCAGGTTATATTAAACCCTTAGAGTTTCGTTGTTCTAAAGGTATGTGAGAATTGGGTGAGGAAGAATGAATGCTTATGGGTTGGTTGAGCTGTTACCCATATCAACTTCAGCTTCTGATTTTCTTGTTAGATAGAGAAAAAGCTAGTTCTCTGTGTGTGTGGTTGCTTAGATTCTGTCTCTAGGAGACACTGACCAGGAAACTTGCTTATCAGTAAGGCCATTTGGGGAGGTTCTCAGCAGCATAATGCAAAATTTTGTCTTTTTTTCTGTCCTGGTCACTCTTTCATCAAATATTTAGAGGAAGATACAGATGCTGTGCATGTCACTTCTGTATACCACAGTGCCGAATGGGAGAACCAATCTGTGAAAGGCAGAATTCAGAAACAAAAAGGAAGGATCTAACATGATGAAAATAAATAAGGATAAATGTAAAGTAGTACCCATAGGTTCAAAAAGTTAACTGTGCCATGTATACCATGAAGACCAAACTGAAACACAGATGAAAGAGTGGTCATTCATTAATTAGAAGTAAATGAAGGTATGATTTAAAAACCTTCAGTTTATACAGAAAAGCCCCATTATCTTAGCAATCTTTTCAGTGTTTATATCTATAATATCTGCGTGCCCATCGTGAAGACAGATATTAGGGATCTGGAGCAATTTTCAAGGAAGAAGACTAGAATGGCAAGAGCACCCAAATTGCATTAGGTTAGTCTTTTCCTTCCATTGTTCCTATGTTTAGCATTGGTATGAAATTTAGGGGAATATTATGGCTGTCTTCAGATATTTGTAGGCTGTGTGGCTCCAGAATATCAAAGCATATCTTTGGGAAATAGATTTTAACTCAGTATGAGGAAGAATTTTATGCTGATCAGAGCTGTTCAAGGGTGGAATGGATTGCCTTTTTAAAATTTTTTTTATAAAATTTTTTTATAAATCTTTTTTTTTTTTCTTTATTGATTTTAGAGAGAGGAAGGAAGAGGGAGAGAGAGATAGAAACATCCATGAGGGAGAACATCGATTGGCTGCCTCCTGCATGCCCCCCACTGGGGATTTGGCTCACATCCTGGACATGTGCCCTGACCAGGAATCGAACCAGTGACCTCTTGGTGCATGGGTCGATGCTCAACCACTGAGCCACACTGGCTGGACTTGGTTGCCTTATAAGCTAACGACCTTTGACATTTCATGTGTTGTTTTGTATTGAAGATCTCTTACTAGGGATGTTTTTGAGAGTAGTGTGTGTATGGTTAATACTTTCTCTCTCCACTTACCTAATTAGAGGACATTCCTGTTTTTCTTTAAGGACACTTTATGGATAAGACTCTTGTTTTTAGCAGTGAAAAATGTCTGTTGGGAAAACCCCACTGTTTGATGTCAGAAAGTTGGTAAGGGGGGAGGGTCCCTGGGACCTTGTAGCCTTGCATGTAAGAAGTGAAGCTCAGTTTCCATTCTGTGACTGCCCCAAGTATGTTTTCACTAGACTTCCCTGGTGCCACTATCCTCACTTAGCTAGTCTGGTAGAGGAGTGCATATGTGTGTGGTGGTATTCCTTATAGTTAGATATCAAAAACAAAACTGTTAAAGAAACATTTTACCTAGAAAAGATGAGACAGATTCCATCACCAGGATCATTATTATGGCTTTGTTCATCAAAGGAGGTAATTGTTCTTAAAGTCTTTGGGGGATAACATGAAGCCTTTCCTCCTGTTTTTTAAATGTGGAGGAAGAAATGGGGTGAAGAGGGTTGAAGCAGGAGAGGTGGGAGAGGAGCAGTTAGGTGGTTGAGACCCCTGACCTGGGCCGCTGGAAGCAGAGAGGAAGCATTGAGTGCTGCAGAGGGGCTGCTGGGGGTTAGAGCCCTGGAAACTCCTTTCGCCTGTTTTAGAATTTTGCTGAGAGGCAGTATTCTTGCATAATACGTGTGTACAGAGATGGATTGTTACCGGCATGAATTATTAGCCTTATCTCCGTGATAATAAAATGTTTTACCAATCATTTTGAATGTATATAAAGTGCTTTGAATGCCAATATGAGGTATGAGGCAGGGAGCAAGTTAAATAGCATCTCTGCATTGATGCATATTGTAACTGTTGTGCCTGGTGTTTGACTCTCTTTGTAGGTGAGAACTCTTGGGGAGAGAGTGGTTCTGTATGTTCTGAATCGAATTATTTATAGAAAACAGGAAATGGAGAGAAATGAGATCCCATTCCTGTGTCATAGCAGTACTGATTATGCTAAGATTCTGTGGAAGAAAGGAGAGGCCATTGGGTTTTATTCAGTTAAGCCTACAGGTGAGTCTTTAAAAGTTATTTAAACTGTGTATAATGGAAACCTCCTTTTCAGACCCCCAACTGTATCAACATTTTTTAAATGAATCTTGAGTGCAAACTGAGGTGATTTTACTTAGTATTTGCTGGGGGTGGGGAGATTTATTCTATCATTCAGTAAAAGTTGAGGATTATTAGGTAAGTCTTCTGAAAAACGAAAAAAAAAAATTTGACAGAAAGAAAGATTTCTCCAAATATATGAAGAGCCTCAAATTTGTCCACCTTCTACGTCCTTCTGTTTATTTAAAGGTTGTTTACTGGGATTCTGCTGTTGTCACTATTACTGGCTTCCTGCAAACTCTTGTTTACCTATGGATCAAATGCATAGCCCTTTTCTGCTTAGTGCAGCTGATTTAGCTTGACATATTAAAGGCAGCTTTGCTAATTAGCATGAAAAACAAAGTACTTTAACATATTTAGAAAGTCCAAAGAGCTTTGAAATTGTGACATCTTCTAAAGTTTGAATTTCTGGTCCTAAGACCCAACTATACCCTTCTCCTAAGAGACCAGCGCAGCATCTTGTTTTACCCGTTTTTCTGTTCATTTGCTCTCTAGATCTACTGGAGCCAAAAGATCTAACCTGCTTACTCCATGTATATAAATAATCAAATAACAAAGTTGATCTTGTTCTGCACCTTGACCAGAAGACCTTTCACTAAGAACGCTCACATTATTTTCTGTCCTTTTTGCATTTCAAACCTTCCAAACTTAGCTATTCTGGTCAGATCTAGTGTAAAGATCATATCAAACTGATTTGAAGAACAGTAGTGACCAATATCGTAATCATATAATTAGTATACATTTATGATGAAATTATGCATATAGTCAATAAAAGGAAGGTCACTGTTTCACAAGCATAAAAAACTGTGATCTAGGGTTTAAAATGGTTTTGTTGTTTAGTAAATACTTCAGTTCTCCTTTAATATTCTTTTTTATTCTTGTACAAATTTGAAATAGAATTAATGATTTATGTAACTCCAGAAAGATATCATTATACAGGGACAAATAATAATGTTTGTTAATTGGAAGCTTACTGATATATTGCATAAAAGGATTCACTTTGTTGTTTTAAAATGTTTAGTAAATTTGGGGCTGAGGTGTAGTGTAATTTCCTTATGCATTATTTTATACACGATAATTCCGTGGAAATTGGAGGCTTTTTGCTTTTCACACTGGCTCTAAGAGAGTTTCCTATCTGCCTCCTGCAGACTCCCCACTGGGGACAGAGCTTGCAACCCGGGCATGTGCCCTGGCCAGGAGTGGAACCTGTGACCTCTTGGTGCATGGGATGACGCTCAACCAACTGAGCCACACTGCCAGGGCAGTTTATACTTTTTTGTTTAGAGCTTGCTTTAGATAAAGACACACAGCTAAAGGTCATAGCATTCCTTCTGATCAGTATTTGATTCCAGGAGTGTGTCCCTCTTCATTTTATGTGCATTTTGGGTTCCTCTTCTCTGAGACCTGGCCTTTATTTTTGCGTGTTCTGGTAGTTAACTCAATTTTATATGCTGGAGCTTTCAAGCACTACTTTTCTACCGCTTTTAGCACATTTAATACTTTGCTAATTGCTTTACTTTCTTACTATTAATTTTTGTGTTTTTGTTTATTTTTTAATCCTCGCACAAGGACATTTTTTCCATTTTTGTTCAGTTAGAGTGGGAGAGAGCTGGAGAGAGGGAGAGAGAGAGAGAGAGAAACATCGAGAGAGATGCACTGACTGGTTGCCTTCCACATGACCCCGACCAGAGCCAGGGATGAACTGCATCCGAGGTACGTGCCCTTGACTGGAATCAAACCCGGGACTCATCAGTCTGCAGGCCGATGCTCTAACCACAAAGCCAAACTGGCCAGGGACTTACTATTAATTTTTGTTCTTTCTTGCTTTACACTTCCGGCTCTCATCTACCAGATAACAATGGAATTAAATGTGCTTATACTAGCCTTTGAATCAGTACCATTTAATTTAGTCTGGAACTTTTATTTTCCCCAAGGAAACCTAAACACAAAATATTTTGGAAAAACTGTCCAAAATAAATACTAAAACACTCTGTGATAAAAGTAATTTCTATATACATATCAGAAAAAAAAAACTGTACCAGCAAAAAGATAAAATCTTTATTAAATATAGTTGAGTGAAAGCCTTATAGAGTCACTTATTATTTATAATTTTTTAATTAAATAGAAAATCGGTGTATGGGGATAATAGTTGGGACATAAAAATAGCCTTGATATATAAAAGAGGTTTTTGTTAATGAGGTTAAATCCTATTACAGTACAGTGAATTTTGAGAAACTATATAAATTCTTTTATGCCTGAAGTAAGAGATCACTGTGAGGGACTTATTTATTTTTTGGGTTAGGTAGATGTCAGATTATTAAAAATACTTTTTTTATACTAGGTTATTGTGTGATATCTGGCATATAACTCTAAGGGAGCTCACAGATTGACTAACATCACTGTGAGAAGATTTTCTGATCTTGCCTGTAGTTATTAAGTACTTTTATCTATAAAAAATTTAAAATAGGAATAAGATTAATGCTGAACCTTGTCTCATTCTGGTATTAAGTAATCTTTTTTGTTTTTCTTTAAGTCAATATTGTTTGTTAATTGCAAAGGGAAAAATAGTAAATTTATGTAGAGAAACCTGGCAGACGTCGTGGAATCACCAGGAAGAAGACATTAATATCATGGCCCCAGAACTATGATGTACTGAGAAGGGCATAACATGATATCTGTGTTATTTTTGCCCAAAATGCATGACCTCAATTTTATAATGAAAACACATTAGAGCAAAATTGAAGGTTATTCCACAATATAACTGATCAGTAATCTCGAAAAGTATAAAGATCAGGAAAGACAAGGAAAGATGAAGGAATTATCAAACACCAGAAGTTAAGGAGATACTAAATGTATTATGGAATCCTGGATTGGATTCTGCAACAGAAAAAGGACATCAGTGGTAAAATTGGTATAAGATCTGCAATTTAGTTAATGGTATTTTACCAGTGTTGATTTTCAGGTTTTGTTTTTTTTTTATCCTCACCCGAGGATATTTTTCCATTTTTTGTACAGATAGAGTGGGAGGGAGAGAGAGGAAGGGAGAGAGAGAGAGAGAAACATCGACGTGAAGGGACACATCGAGCGGCCGCCACCCGCACAACCAACTGTTTTGATACTAGTACTTGGCTCTGTGAGATGTTAACATTAGGGAAGCTGGGTGAAGGATATATGGGAACTCTTTCTATATTTTTGCAACTTTTCTGTGAGCCTAAGATTATTTTTTTTAAATAAAGTTTTCTAAAAGTTAGTATTGATAATATGCTAGGAACTATATCCTTTGTAATCATTGAAACTTAAGATGAAAATTTTAGATGTTATCAAAGATACGTGAATACGTGGTGTTTCAAAATTATTTAATGGTTGCATGAGCAAAAAGTTTCCTTTGTGGCCCTGGCTGGTTTTTCTCAGTGGTTAGAGCATCAGCCTGCGGTCCAGAGAGACCCAGGTTCAGTTCCCGCTAAGGGTGCGTACCTCGGTTGCAGTTTGTCCCCAGCTCTGGCTCTGGTGGGTCGTGTAGATGGCAGCCACTTGATGTGTCCCTTTCACATCGATGTTTCTCTCACTCTCTCTCCCTCCCACTCTATCTGAACCAAAAAAAATGGAAAAATGTCCTTGGGTGAGGATTAAAAAAAAAGTTTCCTTTGTGGTTTTTGACTTGGCCAGGAAAAAAGAATCTAAAATTACCAGTATTAAGTGGTAGCCCCGGGAAAGGTTTTAGCTACATTATCCCTCTGTGAAGCTCATGGTCAGCAATCACCACCATGCACACAGGGCTTCTGAAAGACTCTTCAATCTCATTCCTAACTATAAACAGCTTAGTTAGGGAAAGCCACTGATATGAAAGGTAGAGATCAAAACAAAAAAAGAATAAAAATATTTTGGAAGAGACAGTGCAGAAACAAAATAAACTCAATTTTTGGCAGGTCATTACATTCATGAAATGATGTATTAAAAGATAAAGTTGAGCCCTGGCTGGCTTGGCTCAGCGGTTAGAGCGTCCGCCTGCGGTCCAAAGAGACCCGGGTTCGGTTCCCGCTAAGGGCACGTACCTCGGTTGCAGTTTGTCCCTGGCCCTGGTTGGTCGTGCGGGTGGCAGCCACTCGATGTGCCCCTTTCACGTCGATGTTTCTCTCTCTTCCTCTCTCTCCCTCCCACTCTATCTGTACAAAAAATAGAAAAGTGTCCTCAGGTGAGGATAAAAACAAAAAAAAAGATAAAGTTGAGGAAGTTGATCAAAAGGAAAGCAACAAGAGCAACAATAAACCCTAAATGAAGGAAAATAGGAAAGAAAAGATAAAAATGGCAGGAATGGTCTGAATAATAGATGTTTCCGAAGGAGAAGACAGAGAAACTAGAGGGGAAGAAATCACTAATGAAATAATTCAAGAAAAAATTTTGGAACTACAGAGCATGCATTTCCAGTTTAAAAGGGCCCACTGAGCATCCATCATGATGGATTAAAATAGACCCACAATGAGATAGATTATTATGAACTTTTGGAACATCTGGCATAGAGAAAAGACTTTGTAAGCCTCTAGTGAGTAAAAACTTTATACAAAGGATCAAGATTCAGAATGATCATATTTCTCAACAGTAACACTGAATGCCAGAAGTGGAACAATGCCTTTAAGATAATGGAATGCTCGGTGGGAATGGCTCTGTGGATTGAGCGTTGTCCCACGGACTGAGAGGTCCCAGTTTGATTCCCGGTCAGGGCACATGCCCTGGTTGAGGGCTCAGTCCCCAGTAGAGGGCGTGCAAGAGGCAGCCGATAGATGTTTCTCTCCCCCCTTCTCCCTTCCTTTCTCTCTAAAGAATCAATAAAAAATTAAAAAAATACTGAGGGAAAATGATTTTCAAAGTAATTCTGTGCTCAAATTATCATGAAGTATGAGAGTAAA